GGTGGGGGCAAAGCAGCTCAGTGTGGGGTGGGGAGGGGGTCATTGTGCTCGTCGGCCGCGCCGGGGGCTGCTCCACCACGTATATGCTTGATCCCCCCCTTGGTGGCGGGGGAAGGGGAGCGCAGAGGTTCCGGCCAGCTTTGCGCTTTTCTCCTCCCTCCCTCTCTATGCCTCCCACCAACCTCCCCGTCTCGGGGGAGACTGAGCCCATCTTCCTGGGGCGTCCCCTTCGTTCCCCCACCTGGGTGGGCGGGAGCCAGCGGACACGGCAACTCTCCCTCCCACTGATGGGACCTCCCCCGTGAGAGTCGGCTCTCTCATCTCTCTCCCCTTCCTCTCAAGGGCTGCTTTAACCCCCAAAACTCCTTCTTCCGAGTTGTGAGCTCGGCTCCTCCCCTGTTGGGGAGGTGGGAGCCCTCCATCCTCATGTTGGGGGGTAAGAACGTTTCAGCTTTTCCACCTAGGAGGGTAGAGGGTTAATCCCTCCTCCCCCATAGCTTTCGTCTTCTCTCCTCACCTCCCCCCAAATACGTAATAGAAAAGCATCTCCTCACTTTCCCCATTCCCTTCCCCCATCATCTTGGCAGCGGGCTTTAGGAGAAGTCATCCCCCCACCCCCCTCGTTTGCAGGGCAGGGCAGGGCAGGGTGGGGTGGTTTGTCTGTAGGCTGGAGGAGGGGCTCAGATGTAGGGGGAAACAGTTGAAGAAGGTGCTTGTTGCTCGTGTTTCTCTCTGGTGCCGCTGGTCTATTATTGGTGTTCGCAAGTGGTGCTCCTTCCACAGAAGGCCACCGTGCGGTTGCAGGGCGCATGCTCCGCCCGGCCCCATTGAAACTTCCTGCTGCTGCTGCTGCTTTTGCAGGAGCATCCCGATGTTGTGGCTGCTGCCTCCAGCCTTCAAACTGAGGACAGACAGTCTCCGCTGTTTATTCTCGATCTATGCCCATCTATTCTACCGTATATCATCCGTCAGAGAAGGGTTTTTTGTTGTATTCTGAGCATTGTCTTTATCTGGGAATAGCCCTTGTATTAAGTGGCCAAAGTGAACCGAGTATTGTACAAGACATACCAGTTTACTTTCCAGGAAAGCGTGGTTACTCTTCCATTATCCACGGAGATGAAGGTGTTTCCATTAACAGACTATATTTGTATTGTGAGATTCTTCAAAATGTTACCAATAGAGAGTATGAAGTTATGACTACCGATGTCTCAAGTTAAGATAGCAGTTACAAGCCAGGCCTGCCCTATCATTTCCTGCACCCTTAGTTCTGGCATAGATGAAAGGTTGATTTTTATAATACTACCAAATAAGAGGATGATTAAGTACATTTTATAAAGATTTCCTGCATTATTAAAAAATTAAGCTTCCTAATATATTTTCATTAAGGAGTTGTATTCATGGTCTATTTTTAAGGAAGTAGTCATCGTTAAACACAATGCCTTGGTAGCTTTTAGAATATCTTGGGCATGATAGTAATGTAGTAATGTATACCACAGAAAGAAATAAGGGGATTTGGAGAAAAGGATTGCAGGTAAATTGTTTGTGGAATTTTCTTGAACCAAGTGCAAAGTCAGGAATAGGTTTTCTGACTGGCATTGTATTTTGGGTGCTATACAGTATTGCTTGCTGCTTCAGTTCTGATAGTATTTTGGCCACTATTTGATATTATTACCAGAAGGGAAAAATAAATATTTCATGTTACCTTTCTATCTAGAGTTCAATAGTGGGGTACCAGTTAAGTACAAAATGGGAATGAATCTGGGCATAGAGGAATCATTTAGCTCAGTGACTCCTTTAAATCAGACTCACTGCCATAGGCTTACTTCTGACTTAGTGACACTGTAGCACTGCCCCTGTGGATTTCTGAGACTGTAACTCTTCATGGAAGTAGAAAGCTTCATCTTTCTCCCATGGAGCAGCTGGTGAATTTGAACTGCTGACCTTGGGGTTAACTGTTCATACATGTATAAAGGGGACGTTATAGTTCCTGTTATAAGGTGATATGAGACTAGTTATTAATATTTCATGGTTCAAGATGTTTGGCAAATGGAAAGTCTGCTGGTGAAATGCAGCTACTGCGTAGGAGGAAAAAAAAAGATGGTTGACCTACGTACTTGTAATCATTGGTAAAATAATTCTGGTCCAGCTAGCAAGGTTGGAACAGAGTCTTATTAGGAAGATGTTGTGTTATCCTAGAAAGAGTTAGAAGCCATATGTTGTCTTTTTTTCATGTGTGACATTACTTCAGGCTTTATTGAATAGCCAGGGAAAAACTAGTTAAATTACAAATTTTTGCTTCTTAGCAAATATGGAAATGAAATTTCTTCAAATGACTAAGTAGCATTTTAAAAAAAATCATTTTATTGGGGGCTCATACAATTCTTATCACAATCCATACACCAGTTGTATAAAACACATTTGTACATCCGTTACCCTCATTGTTCTCAAATTATTTGCTTTCCACGTAAACCCCTGGCATCAGCTCCTCATTTTCCCCCTCTCTCGCTCCCCCTTCCCTCATGAACCCTTGATAATTCATAAATTATTATTTTGTCCTATCTTACACTGTCTGATGTCTTCCTTCACCCAGTTTTCTGTTGTCTGTACCCCAGGGAGGAGGTTATATGTAGATCCTTATCATTGGTTTCCCCTTTCTATCCCACCCTCCCTCCACCCTCCCTGTATTGCCACTCTCACCACTGGTCCTGAAGGGATTATCTGTCCTGGATTCCCTGTGTTTTCCATTGCCATCTGTACCAGTGTACATCTTCTGGTCTAGTCAGATTTGTAAGGTAGAATTGGAATCATGATAGTGGGTGGGGAGGGAAGCATTTAGGAACTAGAGGAAAGTTGTGTGTTTCATTGTTGCTACACTGCACCCTGACTGGCTCGTCTCCTCCTGGTGACCCTTCCATAAGTGGATGTCCAGTTGCCTACAGATGGGTTTTGGGTCCCCACCCTGCACTCAACATTCACGATGGTAAGATTTTTTCTTCTGATGATGCCTGATATCTGATCCCTTTGACACCTCATGATCACATAGGCTGGTGTGCTTCTTCCATGTGGGCTTTGTTGTTTCCGAGCTAGATGGCCTCATGTTTACCTTCAAGCCTTTAAAACCCCAGACGCTTTATCTTTTGATAGCTGGGCACCATCAGCTTTCATTACCACATTTGAGAAGCCATATGTTTTATTGTTGAGCAATGTGATGTGTAGTATGTAGGGCAGGTAACTTAATCTCTGTGGACTCTCATTTCTTCAATAAATAGTAATAGTACTCGAGGGTTAAATAAAATAATTATAAAAAATTCTTTCATAAAATCAAAACTTTACAAGTATTCTCATTTTTTTTCTAAAAGATGCTGGTCAGATAAAAAGGTACTTGGGTGCATTTGGAATTAAATTGAATACAAGTATATTATTGAACCATTATTGAACCATAATAAGTATATTATTGAATATGGTGGTGAAAATTCTGTGTTATACTTGAATGAGTTCTGCTTCATATAATTTTTGAAGACGGCTATTTGGGCCATGTATAAAAATCTAATTTATAGAATTTTCGTTTTTGCTTAGTATGAGTAACCTTTAAGAGGTTACTGTTAAAAGTACATTCTTCTGAGTTGTCAGTTTAATACTTTATACCTTAATAGTTATTATGATAGGTGTATCAACATGATTGTATACATCCTTTGGAGAATGGTAGCATTCTCTATCGTCTTTCTCTTAGCACTTTTATGAACTTTTTTTTTTTTTTTTATGAACTTTTAAAGATTTTTTTTTAAAGTTTTAATTGATATTGAGTCTTCAGGTTGGACTCCTCCACCTCACCCAATGATAAACTTTGGTTTTATAAACTACTTGTTTTGTCTTAATGCCATAATAATAAAAAGTCAAAACCAAACCATTGCCTTCCAGTGGATTTTAACTCTACTTGTTTTGTCTTAATGCCATAATAATAAAAAGTCAAAACCAAACCATTGCCTTCCTGTGGATTTTAACTCTAACTGTAGGGTTAGTTTAACCCTATGTAGGATTTCCGTGCCTGTAATCTTTGCTGAAGTAGACAGCC